CCTTCAAAGACTCAGGCCTCCCTCAAAAATAGACCCTCAGCACAAACTCCAATACTCCACAATCACTTATCATATTTCTCAATTCAGGTCGGAAATTTGCAAACCGGGGATGTTTCTTTCCAACAACATCTTTTCAGATGTGAAACTGCCCATTAACTGGCAAAAGCAAGTTCAGCAATCAGCAGACTCAACCATTGACTTTGGAGCAGGCTTGGAGCTGGTGTCAAAAAGATCAAAGTCTATGAGGTTGTGGTTCTTGCATTACATCTCTAAGACTGAGAGTTTTCATACAATGCATTGTTCCTTTGCTACTTAAGGTCTAGCTGGAACATCAAATTTAGGAACAATTTCCTGAACTGCCAAGTTCCTGAAATCTGTTGCATACCCAGTAACAAGCACATGTTTAGAGTGCAACTCCATTGGGTTGGCATGGAGAAATCCTCCACATCAAAGGCACTATTCTGCCAGTGCCACAAGACATCCCAAAATCAGATACAACCGTTCTGAAAGTCAGTGTGTGTAAAGTTGAACCCCACTAAGTGAGAGAAAAACAATCCCCAATGGTCCAAATTGAGAAATCTCTGTCATCAAGCAATCTCAGCATTTGAGGAGAATAGATACAGGTTGCTAAAGGACAAGTGGGCACGGCACAAGGCCACTGACATCACCCACCAATAATGGCTTCATATACAATACTTATAGTCAGATCTTAAAATCACGATTTTGTTTAGCATCACATGTGATAATACCAACGTATGCAGTGAACAATTTGATCTCCACGCTGAAACAATAGGGGAGACCATCATCATCTCACTGTTCCTCCTAAACCAATTATTCATAATGAAATTGAACATTTAAATGGATTGCAAAAGTCTTGAATGATTTATTTAAATTTAGAACAGGCATAAGTTCATGAAAGCCAATGTTTTTGTTGTCTCAGTGTGAATTTTACAATTCAATAATGGTCACAGTCTTTTTCACTTCAGAGTATCAGAGCTTTAATACTGTTAGGTGCCAGTATTTCTAACCTGTTTTCTACTTTATTTCTGATTTGAATAGAAAGAACATTTATTTATAGCTATAACACGTACCAGCAACTGGAAATGCAGCAGGAACAGATGCACATGTGCAGTGAACCCACACTGGCACCCAGTGTCAGCAGCAGATGCAAAATCTCTGCAATGATATCAAGGTAAAGAAACGATTGCATCCACAGCAGGAACAACAGCCCCACTCCCACTGATTAAACTGCTGCAATCTATAATAAAAAAGGAGTTTATTTATATGTTTTTTCTCTCCTAGTGTGTTCAGTGAACCTCTCACACTGCAGATATCACAGATGGATGATGTTTGGTCCCCTAATCCCAGCAGGATTGCGTGGAAGCCAACCTGATTTAATGTATTCTTAAGTATTTCATTCAAAACAATTTAAATTGATTTTTACCAAAATAAATCACGTTTAATTCTCAAGTCTCTTAATTCATTGAAAATTCAGAATCTCATTTGCTTAAATTTTCTGATTTGAGATCTTCAGCACCCACTGAATCATCAGAAACATCTTTAACAGAGGGAACAGTTGGTAAATGATAAGCAGAATGGATTGGTTGAGGACTGCACAGTATTACTAGTACACGTCAAGCCAATTTGTTGGCTCAAATGCAATAACTGTTGACTCAGACTTCCACTGCACATGTGCAGGACACGCTCCCCATAGTGTTGCAGCATAAGCAAACATAGCCTTACTTATATAACATATTCAAATGTCTCAGGACATGGCAGATGACTTCAAAGCCAATAAAATAAAGTTTAATCATTGTTGTAATGTGGGAAACACATCACAAGATCCCACAAACAGTTATACAATAGTGGACAAGATGAATTATAAACAAATGGTTCAAAATAGTGTGTAGAGCTGGATGAACACAGCAGGCCAAGCAGCATCAGAGGAGCAGGAAAGCTGATGTTTTGGGCCTAGACCCTTCTTCAGAAAAGAATTTTTTTTTTCTGAGGAAGGGTCTAGGCCCGAAACGTCAGCCTTCCTGCTCCTCTGATGCTGTTTGGCCTGCTGTGTTCATCTAGCTCTACACCATGTTATCTCAGATTCTCCAGCATCTGCAGTTCCTACTATCTCTAGCTCAAAATAGTGATGTTGTTCAAGGGATAAACGCTGGGCAGAAAAGGGCAAACATCCCTTCACTTCTTCAGAGTGTTATGGAATTTTATGTGCCTGCTGGGATAGTCATACATGATCTCAATTGACTGAAACAGTTGAAAGGTGGTACGTTTAACAGTGCAGCATTTCTCTACTGCACTGAAATGTCAGCTTACTCTATATGCTCTAGATTGAAACCTGAGCCCATGAACTTTTAACATACAAATGAAAATACACAAGGGAGTTTCACATAACAAATGAATAAATTGATTTTAACCTCTAATAGTAGGAAACTAATCAATAGCCCATTACTCATCTAGTACCTTTCATAAAAGTCTTTCCCTTTTTGAAACTTAAAATTATTGTAAATGCCACTGGCAAGATGATGGAATTAAAAAGGTAGTACACGTATTATGTGTTTAACACCTGTGTAGGTAGGTAAAGACGAAGGCCAGGGGGAAATGCATGCTAGGCAGTGGAGGAAAGCAAGAGGAGAAATAGTAGAAGCTTAGGCCATCATTCTCCAATCCTCTATGGCTACAGGTGTGGTACCAGAGGACTGGAGAACAAATAACACTATCGTTTTCTTAAAAAGGACAAATGGATAGACCAAGCAGTATGACCTCTGTGGCAGGAAAATCATTGGAAAACATTCTGATTAACAGGTGAGCATTCATTTACAAAGATACAGATCAATCAACGACACTCAGTACAGATTTGTTCAGTGAGGGTTGTGACTAACTAGACAAGATTGAATTTTGAGGTGGTAGCAAGTTCATGTATTTGATGTTACTTACGTTAAATTTTCGAGAAGGCTAACTGGTCACAAAAGTGAAGCCTTTGGGAGTCAAGATAAAGCAGCACGTCAGATCCAAAATTGACTCAGATGCAGGAAACATAGGGTAATAGGTATTTACATGATTGGAAAACTGTCTCCAATAGACTTCCAAAAGAGTCAGTATCAGGTTCCTTGCTTGGTGTATATCAATGATCTGTGAGGTATACAATTAAGAAGTTTGCAGGTGATGCAGAAGTTGGCCATGTGGTTGATAAAGAACAAGAAAGCTTTAGGATGCAGGAAAAAGTCAACGGACTTCTTCAAGGGGGTACAAGTGGGAAATTAAGATCAATTCAGTGAACTATGAAGTAATGCATTTAAAGAAGGCTAACAAGGCAAAAGAATGCATTACAAATCGTTAAATACAGATGAATACAAGTCCTTGGAGTAAATGTCTACAAATCGCTGGAATCATTCACACTCTGAAAGAATACAATACCTGTTGTATAAATATCCTACAATAGGCCCATAAACAAAGTTAGGGACAGAACAAGGGATAGAAGTAGTCTCCTGAACAAGAAAGGCACCCTCTATAACACCATCAACAAGAAAGGAAAAGGTCATGGAGACCAAACTGGTTCTGGCCCAGTGCCATCCAACCCTTCATCACCACCACTATCCCCCTTTCAAAATCTTCCTTTTCTCTCTACCCCACACACTCCTTCTCCTGAGAGATAATTAGTCTGATAATTTTATTTATTACTTCTCCTCCATCCTTCTTTTGATCCCCATTTCTTTGTGTCTTTTTCTGACATCTCTTCTGACCCAATACTTAATTTCCATCATTTGATTTTAATATCCGAGGTGTTCACAGATTGAAGTAACTTTTAAGAAGGACGAGTACTGACTCAAAATAGCTGTGATTACCTGACCAGATTGAACCAAGCTCATGAAATCATCAGTTATCTAGGATTATTCTGGGCCAAAATTGACATAAACAGGCACCAAAACGCAGAATGACATCTCACAGTTGATTCACACCTCTATAGAAGTTACACATTACAACAAAAGTCACTTTCAGATTATCCAGCTTGGGAAAAAATGACAATGGAACTAGACTCCAAAATACATACAGAGCTATATTTCAACTGCTGCTTTCGAGCAGCAAAGAGACAAGGAAAATGGAGTCTAAGTTAGAATTGGATATCTGAGTGCCTGCTGAAAAAGCAGCTTGGTAAAACAACCAGTCACTTAGAACTCAATGATATCTGCACAGACAACATCATCCCAACTTCCTTTTAGGCTTAATATAGATGTTTGTGCTTGTGTTTGACGCTGCATTTTAATCTTTTTGGGATAGAAGGCAATGAAATTCCTCTTTCTTTCACTCAAGAAAACCTTGCCATTCGGTTCCTTCATTTTGATATATTTAATTACATTCTCAGTGAACTATGACAGCTGCATGCTAACAAAAAAATATTCGTTCTGACTGACTGACTGAGGGAATGGTTTAAAAAAAGAAAAAAAATGAAGCTGATACCATTCCTCACCTAGTCATCTCTCTAACCTCTTCCTAACTTGCAACCTCCCCACCCCTTCTGTTGTCCAGTCCCATTGTTTTCGAAGTCTTCAGTCTGAACATTGAAATTGGCTCCCCATTCACAACACAAGTGATGGATCGAGAGTTCTCAGTTTTCTTTTAAATCTAACTTGACTTCCAAAATATATTTTTTAAAAAGCAATCCTGCTATAAAGTGAAGCCATTCATTTTAAAGACTCTATCATAATGTTTCTTAAGGATAAAAATAAACGCAACCAAATATCCCATCACTTTAGGGACTCCATAAAAACTCTTGCTGTAAAAGATGGTTGCTTTACCAAATAATGGATAAGCAAAGTAAGAACAATGAAGTCCTTAATTCACAGTGCAAGCCCACATTTAACATGTATAATGTGCAACAGAAATGTAGTTCTTCTTGACCAAACTAGCTATGGAGAAAACTGGACATTGAAATAATATCCATAAATTGTACAATGAGTAATTTAAGGATCGTTCAAAACAAATTGAGCGAAGTCAAAGAAATTGAACAGCTTTATGTAAAATTCACTTGAAGGTTTTCTTTTTTGCAGTTACGAAATGAACAACAAAAAGCAACAAAGTTGATGACCCGTCGCAGATCAGTGGAGTCCATCAGGCATCTTTCAACTGTGAGCCCAAAATCCAAATCTACATGGATGAGTCGAAGACATGAATGACTGTGATAGCACAGGGCAGGGCTTCCGGGTTTTTGGTGGAGGTGATGGTGGGTGGGTCTGTGGGTCGGTTGTGGGGTTTGGAGGGGGGAGGGGGCGGGGTTGGAGGAGGTGGAGAAGAGACGGGGACACTCCAAGTGGAGTCAAAAGTTGTTACAGAGATAGTAGGAACTGCCGATGCTGGAGAATCTGAGATAACAAGGTGTAGAGCTGGAGGGTCTCAACCCGAAACATCAGCTTTCTTGCTCCTCTGATGCTGCTTGGCCTGCTGTGTTCATCCAGCTCTACAACTTGTTATCTTGGAGTCAAAAGTTGATGTTTTGTGGTTGTGAACCATAAGGCAGCTCCTCCTCTACTTGCCACCATTCTCACATGTCTTCTGTCTCCCTCTCCTGCTGTCACAGGTCTTCTCCGCATCCGCAAATTTTCAGTTTTCAATCAAGAGTTATGACCATTTTCAAGAATTTAAATTGGGTCACAGTACATTCATGGTCCCATCTGAATTATGTTCAAACAGTCTTAACACAGTTTTAGTTAGTGTAGGGTACACTCCAAAACTACTGTAATTCTGTATTAATAAGCATACACAAACAAGCCACCGTTATTACTGAATGAGTACCGCAAGAAATTAAATGTATCACTCTGTGCAACAGGCCATTTTTTTTCTTGAAGCTGGAGTTAAGGTACAGTTAGTTTCTGGAGAGTACAGTTCTGCACATGCCAGTACTAAATCTGCCTCAAGTAGGCACTGCAATAAAAAAAGTGAAAAAGTTCATTTTTCTCAGGTAGGTACTTCACTATTCTCAAGACACTCAGGTTTAGATATTTCCACTGCATTTCACCAAGCAGTTGGATCAGTGAGAACAAAATCAACCTTCCCATAAACTTCCGCAACAAAACAAAATTATGTCTTTTTTTGGTACAGTGAGCAACGTGGCATCAGGTCAAATTTTTTTTGAATAAACGGAAATTGCAGCTGGGTCAGGCTTCAGCTGTCCAGTAGGATACATGAGAATGATTCAGAATGATATCTTATTTGCACCCCCCCTCTCCACAAGTGGCTTCTTTTCCTTCTATGCCTTTTGCCTTCATATATTTATCTACGTTGCTCTTCAACACACCAATGCTCTTTGACTCAACTATTTCATGTGGTAGCAAGTTCCACATCCTAACTATTCTTTAGAAGTTTCCCCCTTATTTTTCAAACTAGATTTACTGGTGACTACTTACATTCTGATCCCTAGTAATGAAGTAAGAAAGTTTTAAGACAGTCAATAAACTTTTCACCTTTATTGTTAGGAGTTGGATTATACAACAGGGAAGTCTTGTTACAACTGCACAGGATGTTGGTGAGATCACACCTGAAATATTGTCCATAGTTTTGATCCCTGCGTTTAATAAAGGGATATGTTGGTGCTAAGGGCAGTTCGAAATCGATTCACTAGTCTAAATCCCTGGGATGAAAGGTTTCAATAGAACAGCTAAACAAGTTAGGCCTTTAATCATTAGAGTTTAGAAGAATGAGGGGTGATCTATTGAAACACGCAAGACCCTGAGGGGGCTTGACAGTCAAGTTGTTGAGAAGATGTTACACTAATGGATAAACCACAAACTAGGGCACACAGTTACAGAATGAGGAGACACTCATGTAAAACTGAGGGGAATGAATGTCTAGAATTTTCTACCTTAGAATTTTGGTGGCTAGATCATTGAAAGTATTTAAAAAGGGGAGGTAAATAGACTTTTGAAATATCAGGGACAGAGCTAAGCACTATGCTGAGCTGGCACAAAAGGGAGTCGAGGCGTACAGCAGATCAGCCATGATTTTGCCAAATGGCAGGTCAGCCTTGAGGGGCTGAATGGTGTCGCCCTGCTCCTATTTCTTTATGTTCTTGTGTTCTAGAGGAAATACCTTCTCTACGTCTATTTGATCAAACATCTTCATAATTTTAAAAGGTATCTATTAGGTCCCCGTCAGCCTGAAGAAAACACCTCGTTCAGTCTCTCCTGATGGATATAACCTCTCGGCTCTGGTTTCAGCTTTGTTGATCTCTTATGAAACTTTGTCAATATCTCTTTGTATCATGGAGACAGTATTGCAAGTGTGGTCAAAACAAGGTTCTAAACATTTAATGTAATTTTGTGCTTTTCAATTTTGTTCCTCTAGCAATGAACACGAGTGTTTTGTGTGCAACTTTAAAAGCTCTGTTAACCTGCATTTCTACTTGTAATGATTTCTGAAATAGTCTCCTTGGATCTTTTCGTCCTCTACTCCACATACATTTGTTTTACTAGACATTTGTACTTTCCTTATCCTGCTCACTAAAATACACCACTGAAACACGCCCATACTAAAGTTTGTCAACTGTACATTGAATACACAAGCCTAGTAAAGTCTGCTTTTAGTTTGGCATTCTTCCTTTGTATTAACCATACCCCTCAAATTAGTACAATCTACAAATTTTGAATTTGATTTCTGAATGCACCATCCAGATTGTTTATTGAAACAGTAAACAACACTTCCCATGTTGAGTCCCTCCTCTACTGTTTTGTTGGCAACCTTCTATCAATTCTGCCACTTTGCCTCTGACCCCCATATCCTCTGACTTTATTGTACAGTATTTTCATACCACACAAATAAATTTGAAAACTGAAAAGCACATGCAGGGGTTTAACTGTACGTGAAGATTAATATACTTTAAGAATATACAGCAACATACTCTCCATTGTAAACAGAAGTGTCAATTCCACTGACACTGTAAATTTTGCAGTAAAAGCAGAAACAGAATTCTGGCACTGTGTTTGTGCAAATAGTTAGGAAGAAAACATAACTGCCTTACCAAAAACTTTTCCTTTAGCAAAAGGTGGAAATAATTCTGGATGCCTGTATAAAGTTTTATGAAGCTGCCAGAGCTCTTTGTGAAGTTTCTTAAAATCACTGTAACGCTTCCAAACTACTATCTGAAACAAGGGGGGAAAGTCAGTTATTAGCAAACCAATATGACTATTTCCACTTCAACACAGTCAAGTAAAGTAGCTACATTGACAAAGAGAAAATAAAAACACTTGAATACAAGTTCTGGAGTTACCCTAACAGTGGTTAAATCTATCAGACAAAGCGATACGAAGTCAATCAGACCAGTTGTCCCCAAGTTCCATTCCTGGTCTGCGTCAAGTTAGTCATTCATAACTAGGCTACCAACTACAATTGGCTTAAGTGTCCTGGAGTGTAGGGGAAGAAACAAATCAGGAATCTTGGTTCTTTTGTCTGTCTGTGACACCCATTAACAAATATGGAGGTCTGGTAGAGACAAAGTGTCTTGGCCAAGTCATCCTTCAAAAATCAAATAATCTGTTGGCATTCGATGTCCAGACTCGGGTGTTAAAAGTGGCCAGCAAAGCGTATTCAATAACACCCCAGCATGATGCCTTGAGAGAGAAATGACAAAATCCAGATAGCAGCTATTCCCAAATCTGTAAATGAAGTAATATGCAACTAGAATACAAATGAAAATGAAACTCAAAAAAAATTGCACTACAAAATTTAATAATGCAGCCAACAGTGCAAACTCCTGGGTTTTATTTCCAACTTCTTATTCCCAGTCCAAAACTTCAGTATGCAAAAAAATCCCTTGGCAACAAAATGCACCACATATTTTAGGATTTCAGTTATACTGATTAACAAATCAACTAAGAAGCAGTTCATTATTGCCAATCGATGCTTTTCTTTAATGTGCTCATTGATTAAAAGCTAGAAACTTTGAAGTCTTTGGATTGTAACAAGTTACTTGAATAATTTAAAACTGCAATACTGCATGTGTAGCAAATATCAGGATTAGAACAGTTTGCAAATGATGCGCAGGAAAATTGAACTGGGAAAATATGGGAATAAAAATTGTTTATATTTTATATATGATATTTAAGTTAGCAAAGTAGTTCAATTCCAGATATTGGATTGCAAGGTAAGAAATGCAACTTTAACTTTATGCAGATTAAGTGAGCCACAAGGTACCATAGTTTGATGGCAAGTACATAAAAAATTGCATTGCACTGTTGTTGCAAACTTACGGTGAATTAAGTATATAACTTTAGATCAGTCCCTATAAAATAGTTTGGTAGATAGCATTATAGAAGCTCAAGAACAATATTTTTATATGAAACAAACAAACAAAAATATTTGTAAAGAAACAGAAATAGTGTTTAAGTTTCATGCATAAAACGTGTAGAATGCTGCAACAGTGCATTGGTCTGCACGACTATAAAGGGCAAGATTGTTCCTGTCATTCCCCATAAGCTGGGTTTATGATTTCAGCCAGATCTGTAAAAAGCAAAACCCAAAAATAAGTCAGCACTTTCTAAAAACATACATACAGAAAACTAGCATGCACTTAACACTGTGGACTCTCCATCACCTCCCACTGGCTGGTTACAATGTTGCATAAACCTAAAGAGACAATCACCCCAACCTTCCATCAACCAAATAACCACTAGGGTTTCTACAGCTTTTCGGTTAATAAGTTATGCGTCTAAAGACCTACATTTAAGACAGTAGAGTTATCACTATCACTATCACTGGGGAGGCGATGGCCGAATGGTACTATCGCTGGACTGTTAATCCAGAGACCAGACGACATTCTGGGGGCCCAGATTTGAATCCTGCCATGGCAGACGGTGGAATTTGAATTCAATAAATATCTGGAATTAAAAATCTAATGATGACCGTGAATCCATTGTCGATTATCGGAAAAATTCATCTGGTTCGCTAACGTCCTTTAGGAAAGGAAACTGCCATCCTCACCTGGTCCGGCCTACATGTGACTCCAGACCCATGGCAATGTGGTTGACTCTTAACTGCCCTCTGGGCAACTAGGGATGGGCAATAAATGTTGCCTAGCCAGCAACACCCTCATCCCGTGAATGAATAATGAAAAAAAAACATACAAGAGTCGCCCTAACTCAGAAGAAATTCACAGCCAACCTAACATAGAATCCTTTTTTTTGAATAATTACAAAGTACACACCATAATTACTCAGTTTGATTTGGCATATACAGTCATTGAAAGAACATTTTGGTTTAGTTTTACTATTCTGTACAGTTTAATAATCACCTGTAAACTACCCTTTTTTCCCCAAAACTTAAAAAAAATGTGATAACTTCATTGTAGTCTATCCAAGGCTCAACTTTGTCCTCCATTTATCGATGACCAGAACAGACCCAGTACTAGAAATGCAATTTAAACAAAACACTAAATAGATTAATGAAAATTTCTGTAGCTTGTACTGTGTTTTCATTTCCCTGTTTGTTTTGTTGATTGGTTGACTGTAGTAATTAGATTAACTATTCAGTTAACTGAAACGTAAATTCCATGTATTAACACAATTGAAAGAATATGTACAACTCCATTCACCTTGTGAAATTTAATCAAATCACTAGTAATCTGCCTATATATTTTTGTCAATCTTTAGCCATTTCCTTAGATTCAGCTGTTCTTTTGCCTTTCTGTCCCCTTAACCCATCCACCATCTCCCACCCACTCCTCTTCTCACACAGAGGCACACCAATCTGTGAATTGATCAGATTGCACCGAGCTTCTGAATCCAAGATGTTAATCCAAGCGAGAATAATTAGGCACTATAAAGGATTTCAATACAAAAGCATAAGGCTTAAGATTTAGCATTTTCTTGTCTAACATGCCATTTTTCCACCAAATCTGCAGTTCATATTTTTTGTTTAAAAATTCATTATTTTTCTCCCATTCTTGGCTAACTCGGTAAACAGATGATCTGCTTCTCGTCTTTGCCAATATGTCTCCACAAATAACCGCTTGGTGATGCGCCACAGTTGCTTGGAGTGAGTGACTGTTATGTTCACCCTTCTATTCAAATTTCAGTGGTCTTACATTGCATTGTGTTTTAATATTCAATATTGTAAAACAACAACATTGAAGAGCACTTTTGATGTTAGCAACATGGTATTTAGACAAATGACATGTTTGCCTTCTTCACGTTTGTGTTTAGTTACTGCTTTAGTGCAGGAGTGCAAGTGACATCATGAAAGATTATGATTTAGAGTTTTCCTGATGATTAAGGCCCAGTAATTGATCAAACCTAAAGTTTTTTTGAAATGAAAGGGAAAAATAAATTCCTGATGAAAAGTCTGACTCAAATATCACTGACATCACCAAAGGTGATCTTGGAATCCAAAATTATTCTGTTAATCATATGAACTACATTTTCACCAACCCCACCTGCCAAGGAATGAAATAAGCTAACTGGAACTGGGATAGTGAAATGCTGAGGGAATACAGAACTTCCCCCAAAGGACGTTTAACGATGGAGATGATTCTTGCATCAATGTTTAAGATCAAGTGAGCGCAAACTGTGCATATCTACTCTAACCAGAGGAAGCCTAACTTTGAAAGAATTATCATAGATTATCATGTCGTTATCACATTGGTATTTGTGGGGATTTGTTCAGTTAAATTAGCTATCTCATTTCCTACATTATACATCAAAATATACATCAAACATACAGTTAAAATGTCCATTCGTCTTGAAAAGATCTATATAAATGTAAGTCGTTCTTTCTTTTAGGATTGAAATGGATCATAAGTTTTTTTAAATAAATGGTTTGGGGTTAGTTCTGAAATTTTAGAGATATTTATAAGTTGACTAGAGATAATTAATTTCAACAAATATATTGCAAGTTTCATTTATCTTGTAATCAAATTTATGAGTAACTGGAAATTAGGGACATGTTATTGTTTTCTTTAGAGGTCAGCAGCTGTTCAATTTATCAGAGCTGGAAATGTTCATACAAAAGGAAATAAAATAATTTCTTAACTAAAGCATGCAAGGGACTTGAAAGATCAGCAATGAATTAAGAGTACAAAGAACATAGAAAGATGATGTTTTGAGAAGTGAATTTACACAATTGAAGTAAAATGCAGTATGAGTTATCTAACAGTATGATGACTTTATCATTTTCACTGAACACAGTGCACCAATATTATACCTAAGTAGAGTGACAGTGAAATTGAACATTTGATGTGGATGACGAAACTGGAGACCACATATCTGGCATCTCCTAGGCAGTTTTCTTTTTGGAAAGCAGTTGCAAAGGATCAGAATTTTCAGTAGTCATAAGGCTATGACTGTCAGCATTCATTATCATGCCCTCTCTGAAACTGACAGCAACTTCCTGAATCCATAAACTTGCAGTTAACCAGACTTGCCTTCAGTGGTTCTAGACTTCTCCACTGTGCATACTGCTTGAACCCCCCTTAGACTATCACCAATTAGAAATCACTGAACTGATGAGAATTTGCTCTTGAATTGTTATTTTGTCTCCCGGCGAAAAAAAATCTCCTTGAATGAGCTATAATTGGGTTTATCATTGAAGAATGTCTCTAGTCATGATAGTGCACAAATAGGAAATTAGTCTATCAAATTTCTCCATTATAATAAAAAACACTGAAACAACTCCTTTGTTAACCTTTGTCAATAAGGTTTTGGCTTCTAACTCAATGCTAGGCATGCATCCTGTTTATTTTACTCTCTGCAAAATGTAATAAATATTGAAGAATAATGACAACATTTTTCATCCTTTTTTCCTGGCTTTTAGTGCACTTCAATGTTATTGCCCACTTACCGTTTGATGATCTCACTGCTGATATGCACATGGAGATTCCCTTGATGCCAGATTCAAACCAACATCGGGAAGGGGAAATCCATGTCACATATATGATGTTTCTTGGTATCTAATTGTAGATATTAACCTAAAATTTGCTAAGTTAGCCAAAATGAAGTTAAATTAAATATTAAGTCTGGAGCTGACCTAATGATTAGAAAGGTCACCGGTTTTAAAATGTTTGTACTTTGCTGATAGAATGTTTACGTCAAGTATTATAACTCAGCAGTGATAAACTGAACTGTCAAAGTAACTCTGAAAAAGTTGAAGCTTTGTTTAAAGCAGACACAGTATCTATCAGCTGAATTTGAGATAGCTTGGAATTGTGCTGTGTAAATATTACACAGATGATTGGATGACAAAGTGAAAGCAAGTTAAAGTTGAGGTCAAAGTTAATTCAAAGTTAGTGATAAGCCTCTTTCCAGAGAGATACAAGTAAGTCTTAATGAGTCAATTGTTCAAACCAAAGTGGAGAACATGTGATGCTTGCCAGTGGTCAAACTGAAAATTTGCTGGAGACCGGATAATGTCTACACTTGGATTTATAGCTTTATTTGTATGGAAAGAGCAAATGAAAAAGCTGTCTCATAGGACAATTAGCTAGCTTGGGGAACAGGTGGTCTGGTCAACTGCTGGAAGTCAAGACAGAGCGAGCTGTTCATTTCTTTTATCACATTTTCAGACAGGTCCACATAAGCAAGTTCATTTGTAATTGCATACATTTTACGGGTAAAGTTTTTGCAGTATTTTTGGTAGTGTACTTTGCCTTAATAACAACCATTGGGTATATTCCATTGTTAGATCTGCCTTGGGTTGTTAATATTGAGAATACACTCAACAGACCTCAGAAAGTAGGAATAATGCACCTTCTCTGAGATCAGTGGCGAGCATCTTTGCTTTACCGCTGACCATGAAATCCAGGTTATTATTAAAGGCTACCACAAGAAGAAATATGGGTCAAAACGTATGAGGGCCTTACATCATGCTTTGGCCATGTCTTTTGCTGGTAGAATAATATGCTGCATGTTTGTGCTAGTAAATGACATGCTGCTACTGAGGTCCATCAGACGATCAACTGTTTTCTAAAATGTTTTCCTACTGAGAAGGAATGATTTGAAAATAAATGGTTATCACATTTAAGGAACTAAATTTATAAACCAGATTTGAGGAGGGTTCATGAAATGATTTTTGTATGGTTAATTTGGACTCTTTGTAGGTGAGCAGGAAGCCTGTATTTTTCCTTCTAGTTGCATACACAACATACCAAACTTTCATGGCCAAAGATTTTCATGATTTCCACCTCCAACTGTAATGAAGACTATTATTTCCAGTTTGTTCCCATTTTATTGTTATTTCTAATCTTTTGCACAGAATCCTCCCATAAAAAATAAATTATACCAGATATTTAACAGCCATAACATCAACACAGTCAATGTTCAACAGCTCATTACCTCCTGAACTTCTTCTGGATTTCTTCTTGAAACAATCTATTCAAAAAGAAAACGAAATGAATCTGAGAAATGCCATAAGTCCAGCAGATTGTTAAATATCATGAAATATCAATATTCCACGCTGAAGGGATTCTATGAATTAAGAACGACCAACTGCAAACTGCATACATTGTCTGTTCAAAAAACACTACTAGTTATTCATCATGATGTTTTACAGCACAAGCTCATGTGGACGAACCCGTACAATTGCAGACAGACAAATGACATCAATTTTAACTTAGATGCAGAAATTAATCAAGTTCATGATAGACTGTAACATTATAAATGACGTAATGCTGAAATATAGTAACACGGAAACGCCGAAGCAAAAACGAATGAGCAAGGCAGCACCAAGTGCTTTTGCCGAGTCCGAAACACAGTAAAAAAAAGCTCTTCACAACCAAATTCACCTTACTCTACAACTGCTGAAACCAGAAATAAATGAATTGTGTAACTTATTCATGTGACTGCACAGATTGCATTACTGTAAACTAAGGCAGTTAATATGACATGCTCGCCGATCGAGAGGGGCTGAGCTGCTTTTGCACCGTGACAGCTTCACACTCTCCCCAGGCCCGTGTTCGGATTGTCCAGGGCTCGTTCTCTTTTAGAACTCGGGCTGAAGCCGGTGCAGCTTGGCCCAGGGCTGGCCAGCGGCTGCTCTCAGCTGCAAACAGCATCTCCCTTCCACCCCCCCATGCTCACATGATGAACCCACCCGTGCCGTCACTTTATAAACCGTATAGCCTTTCCTGTGTCTCTTTGGGTCGGTTATCGTGTAGAAGCGAACCAGGTCCCCTTTGTTTTTCTGCGGTAACATTATCTGTCATCCCCCTTAGGCAGAACGCCTATACTAAGGTGGGTACTCTCTTTTTACATCATTTCCTCATTTACTTACATACACCGCCTACTTCCTATACGTCTGTTCCGTGGGGTTTCCTTGTGGACACTGTTTTTCATTATTATAAATTTTCAGTTCTCCATGTGTTCAGCTTCAATTTGGATAAATCTGATTTTAAAATTTACAGTGTGGATAATTATAGTTTGCAATCTCGGTTTGCTGCAATTGTGTCCACAACGGAACTTCTACAAGGGTGGCTCTGGTACGGATTGAAGGCTGCTGCTCCTGTAGTTGCACTTTCATAGCTAGGTCGTTTTCTCCAGGTAATGCTTTACTATGCAAGAGGTAAAACGTTTAGTAATGATCCTATCTCATTGGTACTGCTGGACAAGTCAGATTCCAGTATGAAATCTGCCTTCATGTATGTTTAACTATTTTTGTTTATTTAGTTAACGTGGTGGCCTGTCAGAGTCGTACAGCAAGGAAACAGACCCTTACGTCCAACTCGTCCATGCCAACCAGATATTCTGCATTAATCTAGTCCCATTTGCCAGCATTTGACCCATATTCTTCTCAACCTTCCTATGCATATATCCATCCTGGTACTTTTAAATGTTATAATCGTACCCACCTCCACCACTTGCTCTGGCAGCTTGTTCCATACATGCACCACGTTCTGCATGAAAACGTTACCCCTCAGATCCTTTTTAAATCATTCCCCTCTCACCTTAAACCTTTGCCTTCTAGTTTTGGACTCTCCCACCTGAGAAAAAAGACCTTGGCTATCCAGGACCCTATCCATGCCTCTCATGATTTTATAAGGTCACTCCTCAGCTTCCGATGCTCCAGCCTACACAGTCTCTCCCTATAACTCAACCCTCCAGTACTGGCAACATCCTTGTAAATCATTTTTGCATCCTGTCAAGTTTAACAATATCTTTCCTATAGAAGTCACTAAAGCATATTTGTATGAGGCAGCAAGGTTCTTTAACAACAGAACACACATTTATTACATAAACGAAAGAGAAAGAACATAGACAACAGGGCTGGATGAACACAGCAGGCCAAGCAGCATCATAGGAGCAGAGAGGCTGATGTTTCGGGCCTAGACCCTTCATCAGAAAAGGGGGAGGGGAAGGGGGTTCCGAAATAAATAGGGAGAGAGTGGGAGGCGGATAGAAGAGGGATAGAGGAGAGGATAGGTGGAGAGGAAACAAACAGGTCGAAGAGGCGGGGATGGAGCCAGTAAAGGTGAGTGTAGATAGGGAGTTAGGAAGGGGATAGGTCAGTCCAGGGAGGACGGACAGGTCAAGGGGGCGGGATGAGGTTGGTCGGTAGGAGATGGAGGTGCGGCTTGAGGTGGGAGGAGGGAGTAGGTGGGAGGAAGAACAGGTTAGGGAGGCAGGGACGAGCTGGACTGGTTTTGGGATG